CCAGGAGTTTATGTCAAGAATAGGCTGGGGCGTGGCAAACAGCAATGGCTGCCGGCAGCCTTCTCTGCCCTGCCAGGTTTCCAAGTCCCACATTTCCAAGACCCTGTGTCCCTGCAACTCAGCGCAGTAAACAATGATTGCTGCACGCACCTCTGCAAGAAAGTCACCCTCACTTCCAGACCCGGTGGCCAACTTCTCTCCATAGGCATCTGGGTCCCCTGCGTGACCTTGTTTTCTTCGGGTTGAAAAAAAAGCCATTTGTCCAGTTGCCCGCCACCAGCCTGATTCGTGTGCCTCCGTACCTAGGCTTTTCAGCTTTTCAGCGCTTGTGCTCCTTTCTCTTTCAGCCAGCCTTCCCATGGTTTTGGGTGATAGACATCCTATATATTAGTTGTAGTTTTGAAATTGTTGTGCGAGGCAGCAGACCAGTTGTTTATATATGCCATTGTCTTGGTTTCTTCCCAAGAACAGGATTCTTAAGCCTGGCTCTTCCACTCTTTTCCACATTAACTAGGAATACAGGATGTAAGGTACTAATTGTGGAACTGAGTGTGCTAGTACATTTTTCTTGATCTTTTTGGGACTTTGATATAACATGAAGACTATTATGTTGTTGGTATTATTTCTTCTATATCATATTTCAACACCAGTGGATAGTGTCCAGGGTATAATTCATTCAATTGACAGATTTCTTAGCCATTTTAGAGCAGGTTCTCTAGTAGCTTTTTTCTTATGTCCATAGTTAAGAAATTTGTCTTATCTACTTAAATATGATATAATTACAGTAAGCTTTTTACTAAGCTAAAATAAATCTTACCTATACCTGAAAAGCTGGTTGAGGAGGGTTGTAAGTGCTAATGTTAGTTTTTCTGTACATCAGCTCAGACCTTTCCCCAAAGGAAGACCAAAGCTGATTGAACTGTGACCACTACTTAGCTGCCAGGTATTAACCACTATGGTTATTCAGAAGCTTAGAAGATTCAAACCATTGACCTTGAGTTTTGTAAGCTAAATATTCTAAACCTTTTCCTAGTTAGGAAGATAAAATCTGGCTGAGCTTAAACCTTTTCGGAGAAACCCCCACCAGGCCTCTAGTAGCTAAATAAATACATATTTTGGTTCATTCTTTCACCAGGAAATACACTGAATATTGAGTTCAGGAATTTCAGTTATCCCTTCTGAAGAGTTTGTTCCTCACTCAAATATCTGGGACTTCTTTTCTGGTAACCTACAACTTGGTCTATACTTACTGGTTGTACAAAATCCATGTGTAAACAAAAGGAAAGATTTGAGTAACTCTGGAAAAAAGGCTGTTGAAGATGAGAGCATCTTTTCTGACTTCTCTAAGAGGGATTGGAATGTATAGGATGGTGAATCTGAGGTTGAGGAGAGCAGGCGGTGTGTGTGTGTGTGTGTGTGTGTGTGTATTTGTATCTGTAAATATCACATCACTGTTTACTGTACACTGCATTCTCTTCATGCAAGACCTAGTCAGGCAAAATCAGGAGAAATTGTTCCCTGTTTAAAGCCAAGAATAACATTCTAACCAGCAGAGGACAGAGGTCAGTTTAAGGCAAAGCTCTTGGGATCTACAGGACATTAAGAACCTTGAAAGATCTGAGTTTAATAGAAGGAAGCCAATCTGTACGTTGAAGTAAGTGTTTGAAACATGTATATCTCTATTGGAGCATGGCTTATTTATGAAAAAATTAATAATTGTCAAACAGTTGGATATGTGATGAGTTCATATCACCTCCTAGTCATTTAACTATATATTTATTTCTCTCCTGCCTGCATATTGACTTGTCTATTGTTTTTGTTAGAAAAAGAGGAAAATAATATTCTACCAATATTCTGGTGTTTTATTCTACAAAGCAGCTTCCGAAATACTCGGGAGAGGGCTAGAGTTGAAAGAAGATATGTTAATTAAAAAACACACACCCTTTACAAAATCTCCTGGGGAAATTCCGAGCTGGCTGAAGTTTTGTTTCTGGGATATTTCTGTGCCTACTTCTCTTCTTTTTCCATTCAGTGTTTCCTCATTCTGATGCTGGCCACTCACCCCACCATGGCTACTCAAACTATTTTCTGGGGAAACATTCTAAGTTTGTCCTATTTTCTTCTCTGAGACTCATTTCTTTGGTCTAGCTTGAACTAGGCCTAAATGAACATCTGAAAGCATTCCTTCATGACATTTATTTCTTGGCTCACTTTATGCACTTTGCCTGATTTGTTTTGCTTCTCTCCTTTTTCAGTTATGTTGCCTTGCTTGGAAGATTCTAAAGCTCAGATGCAGCCTCTGTCCTCTTAAATTTCACTCTGGTTTTATAAAGTGCCTTTTTTCTTCCCTATAAATTGGGGGATGAATAAATCAGGTGCTCTGTAGTGAGGGATTACTAATTCTTTTGGGACTCTAGTTTGCTACTTGTTTAAACACATATTTAGCAATTTGGATTGTATTTGCATGCTAGAACTAATTGCCAAGACTCTCAAAATAGGTGGTTGTTGTTACCTTTTCTCCCCTTGTTTTTTGAATAGAAAATTTAGAGGTAAAAAGAACTACCTTGTCCAAGATCACACAGTACATTGGTCTTAAAACTTTTGAAGCACACCTCATGTTTTTATTCCTTATACTTCTTAGCACAACTATTAGCAGTAGTTAATAAATAACATAATCTTATATAAAAAGGTAATATGCAAATTGACCATCACACCCTCACACAAGATGGCCACCCCATGTGGTTACAAGATAATTGCCTCAAGATGGCTGGCAGGGGAGGGTAGTTGGGGGAGACCAGGCCTGCAGGGGAAGGCAGCTTGGGGGGACCAGGCCTGCAGGGGAGGGCAGTTAGGGGCAACTGGGCCAGCAGGAAAGGGCCGTTTGGGTCGATTGGGCCAGCAGGAGAGGGCAGTTAGGAGCAAACAGGCTGGCAGAGGAGGACATTTTGGGGCAAATGGGCACCAGCAGTCCTCGATTGTGAGAAGGATTGGGCCTAAACCGGCATTCAGACATCCCCTGAGGGGTCCCAGATTGGAGAGGGTGCAGGCTGGGCTGAGGGATCCCCCCCACTCCAGTGCATGAATTTTGTGCACCAGGCTTCTAGTCATATATAACAAAAACCTAAGTGTCCAACTGTTCTTTTGACCATTGGACCAGTCGCTATGATGGCTTAGCTTGCTCCTGTGGTCCAGCTGATCAGGACTGGGCGAGACAATCAGGACTGGGTGAGATGGGCCAGACACGCCCTGGAGCCTTTCAGTGGTCCCTCCCCAGCTCCTATGTGCGATGTCCTGTTGTGCCCTGATGGGGTCCCTCTGCCTGGCCTGCACCCTCTTGCAATCCGTGACCCCTTGCAGGATGTCTGCAGGCCAGGCCGAGGAACCCTCACCAGGCCTTGAGGAGCTAAATAAATACATTTTAACTGTGGGTTGATTGTTGATCAACTAAATTTCAGAATTCTCATCAAGTTGATAACCTTTTAGACAAATATGTGAGACAAGCGATTAGATGAAAGGGTCTGAATAACTATGCAGAAAAGGTTTAGGAATTTAGAATATTTGTGAAAAAAATCCCCACGTAAATACTGTTCTGAATGAAAAAACAGATAGCATCGCTAGAGTGGAAATTGGTTAAAAATATAAGGAGAAATAGGGTAAAAGAGGCTAAAAAATATGGTATAATGAAGAGATTGGAACAAACAGGCATCTTGACAGCTTGTTATCATACACTGAAAATGAAAAATTTTCATCCTTCTCTACCACTGTCCCTCTCCCAAATCACTATCCAGAGCAGCTATTAATGACTCTTTGGGCACTAGTGTCTGGTTTTGGGCTGCCATGTGAAGCATGAAGAGGTCTGTGGGGTCAGTCAGCTGCAAAGAACAGTTGTCCTTTTGATTTGTCAAATTCTTCTTAAGTTTTGTTGCTCTTAAATAGTACTGCCAGTTCCAGTGTATTATACTGCACATTGTGCAGTAACCCTTCAGAGGGCCCATCCAACTTTTTATTTTTTATTTATTTATTTATTTATTTTTTTTAAAATATATTTTATTGATTTTGTACAGAGAGGAAGGGAGAGAGATAGAGAGTTAGAAACATCAATGAGAGAGAGTCATCGACCAGCCGCCTCTTGCACACCCCCTACTGGGGATATGCCCGCAACCAAGGTACATGCCCTTGACCGGAATAGAACCCAGGTCCTCCAGTCCCCAAGCCGACGCTCTATCCATTGAGCCAAACCGGTTTCGGCCCATCCAACTTTTTAAAAAAAATATATTTGTACTGCCGAAACCAGTTTGGCTCAGTGGATAGAGCATTGGCCTGTGGAATGAAGGGCTCCAGGTTCGATTCCGGTCAAGGGCATGTACCTTGGTTACGGGCACATTCCCAGTAGGGGGTGTGCAGGAGGCAGTTGATCAATGTTTCTCTCTCATTGATGTTTCTAACTCTCTATCTCTCCCTTTCTCTCTGTAAAAAAATCAATAAAATATAAAAACAAACAAAAAAATCATATTTGTACTTATTTCAGAGAGAAAGGGAGTGGGAAAGAGAGATGGAAACATCAATGATGAGACAGAATCATTGGCTGTCTCCTGAACTATTAATACTGGGAATTAAACCAGCAATCCAGACATGTGCCCTTGACTGGTATAAAAAATGGGACCCTTCAATTCACAGGCCAAACCAGCATGGGCCCATCAAATTTTTTAACTTAAAAAAAAAACCAACAAAAAACAAACTGCTGTTTTTTTGTTTTGTTTTGGGGACAGTTGTTTGCATCTCATTTGGGATCCTTTTCTCCTCATCTGGCCTCATTCAATTGTACCAATCAATTTTTACTATTTCTGGTTTCAGACTTTTGTCTTCACTGGCTTCCTGTAGTAATCTTTGGTTTCAGACCTGCGTGGGGGAAAGATTGATTGTTGTTTTTTTTCTTGTTTGTTTTTTGTTTCAGTAAATAAGTTCTCTACTTATTATTCTTTATCTTCTTTGTTACACAGGCCACCAAGCAGTTTCTTGAAGAGATTAACAAGTGGACAGTTCAGTACAACGTTTCTCCTCTCTCTTGGAATGTGGCTGTGAAGTTCCTCATGGCTCGGAAGTTCGATGTGCTCCGCGCCACAGAGTTGTTCCACTCCTATAGGGTATGTGCTCAGGATGGACCAGACCTGCTGCAGCTTGGCTCTCTGTGTTGCTATTTTCTCTGCCACGCTTTTCAGACAGTGGTTCTGAGTGTTTTCCCCACTCTCATAAAAGTAAATAAATAAACAAATAAAAAGTGCGTCAGTATTCAAGAGCTCTACCGTGGTGTCGGAGAATCCTTCTAAAGAGATATCTTTCTAAATTTTTTTTTAAAAAAAGGAGGGGGAAGGATAAGAAGCACTAGGAATGGTTTAATTCCAAAGCTCAAGTAGGCCTATTTTATGGACATCTCCTTCAATATTCATTAATTTATTCAACAGAAATTTACTGTATACCTGATATATTCCAGGTGTAGAGATTACTATTTAGGAAGACAGTAAACAATTATAGAAGTGTTAGCATAGGGCAGTACTAGGTTCTGTGGAAGCCTTCCTGAAGGAAAAAAGACTTCTAAATTATGATTGAAAGAATGAATAGGCCCTAGCTGGTTTGGCTCAGTGGATAGAGCTTCGGCCTGTGGACTGACAAGTCCCAGGTTCAATTCTGGTCAACGGCACATGCCTGGGTTGCAGGCTTGATCCCTGTATGGACTGGGCAGAAGGCAGCCAATGAATGATTCTCTCTCAACATTGATGTGTCTGTGTCTCTCTCTCTCTCTTTCTCTCTCTCCCTCTCTCCCTCTCTCCCTCTCTCCCCCTTCCTCTCTGAAATCAATAAAAACATATTTAAAAAAAAGAATTAATAGGGCCCCGACTGGTTTTCTCAGTGGTTGGAGTGTTGGACAGACCAAAGGGCCACTGGTTTGATTCCCAGCCTAGGGCACTTACCTCAATTGCTCATTCGGTCCCTGGTCCAAGTTAGGGCACAAGAAGGAGGTAACCAATCGATGTGTCTCTCTCCCATCAATGTTTTTCTCTCTCTCTTCCTCCTATACCTCCCTTCCAATCTCTCTAAAAAAGTAAGTCAATGGAAAAAATATCAAGTGAGGATTAAAAAAAGAAGAAGAAGAAGAAGAAGAAATAGGAATCAGACAGGGAAATAAAGCTTACAAAAGTGTGGCATAGAGAACAGCAAGTTTCAGATACCCAGAGAGAAATTGAGCTGAGCAAAAACACTAAGTGGGAGTAGGGATATGGCAAGAGTTTGAGCAACAAAGGTAAACAAGGCCAGATAAGGGAGTGTCTATCTGCTTTTTTTTTAAGGGTAGAGAAATTCATTGAAGGTATAAACAGCAGAATGACTTGATCAGATTTGTATTCTGGAAAGACTTTTCTCACTGTACTTTAGAGAATGAATCATAATGGTTATAATGAAGACAGACCAAATTAAAAGGCTCTTATACTTATAGGAAAAGAGATTATTATGGTATCTTTAGGTGTAGTGTCAAGTGGGCAGATTCTAGAAATAAGATTTGTAGGACAGTGTTGCTTAAACTGGTGTGTGAGGCAAGAGGAGACTAGGGTTCTAGGTATCTGTCTTGGATGACAGGGTACATGGTGAGGCATTCACTAAAATAGGAGACACTGAAGGGTGCAGGTAAATGGACAGAGAAGGTCATGAGTTTAGTTTGGCCATGTTAGTTTGTAGTGCCATTGGGATATCTAAACAGACTTGTCGTCAAAGCAGTTGGAATATGCATTTAGAGTTCAGAAAAGAAATCTGGATATAAGTAGAGCTTTTGAAGTGGACCAAAGTAGAGCTGAATATTGGAGCCATGAGAATGGGTGAAGTCATTCTGGAGAGTGTGAGGAATAGGAAGACATGTAGGGCAGAATCTCATCTCAGACTTTTTGCTTTTCTGGTTGAAAAGTTGTTTTTATAGGTTGAATTTGAATGCTTTATTTAAGCTCCACATAAGCAAATCCTGTTCCATGGGGGTTGTTTTCTGCATAGCAGCTCAGCTGTTCCTCACAGCCAATAGTCCTAGGGGTCAGTTCCTTTCAGTGACACTAATAATAATCAAGGCTCAACTGCAACAGGACAGTGGACCCAGACCACACAGGGGCGCACTTAGAGTGCCCAGGTGCCTGAGGAGGTTGAGCCACTGGGCCCTACAGTACACCTATTATACAAGGCCCCTCTACCAATTCCAGGAGACATAACAGCTCTACCTAATACATAAAAAAAAGAAACAAAAAAAACCCCACAGGGTAGCAGCCAAAATGAGGAGACAAAAGAAATATATCACAAATAAAAGAAATACAACCATGATTATAAGGTTACTCAAGGATCTTCATGAGATTTTCAAGAATCTTAGTAAGAATTTTAAAGACATCAAAAGGGACCAGTCGGAAATTAAGCATAAACTAACTGAAATAAAGAATCATTTACAGCCTGTGGGCATGGCTCAGGTTTGATTCCTGGTCAGGGCACATGCTTAAGGTTGTGGGTTCGATCCCCATTAGGGGCATGCAGGAGGCAGCCAATCAATGATTCTCTCTCATCATTTATGGTTCTATCCCTTCTCTGAAATCAATAAAAATATATTAAAAAAATAATTTACAGGGATTCAACAGTAGAGGATTCTGAGAATCAAGTCAATGATTTGGAATAAGGAAGCAAGAAACAACTAATTGGAAGAGCAAAAAGAAAAAGAATCCAAAAATATAAAGTTAGTGTAAGGAGCCTCTGGGACAACTTCAAGCATACCAACATTCGCAATATGTAGGTGCCAGAAGGAGAAGAGAGAGAGCAAGATATTGGAAAATCTTTTTGAAGAAATAATGGTACAGAACTTACCCTATCTGGTGAAAGAAATAGACTTACAAACACAGAAAGCACAAAATCCCAAACAAAAACCATGCCCTACCTGGTTTGGCTCAGGGGTTAGAGCATTGGCCTGTGAACTGAAGAGTCCCAGGTTCAATTTGGTCAAGGGCACATACGAGGGTTGTGGGCTCAATCGCCAGTAGGGGGTGGACAGGAGGCAACCGGCAATGTTTCTGTCTCTCCCTCTCCCTTCCTCTCTCTGAAATCAATAAAAATATATATACAAAAACAAACAAACAAAAAAACACACAAAAAGACAAAACAAAAGAAGAACCCAAAGAGGCCCACACCAAGACACATCAAAATTAAAATGCCAAGGGTTAAGACAAAGAGACTATCTTTTTTGATTTAGCTGTGCATTTTAATATATATTTTTTTAAATTAGATTTTAGAATTTTTAAAAAAATATATTTTATTGATTTTTTAGAGAGGAGGAGAGAGGGATAGAGAGAAACGTCGATGAGAGAAACATCATACAGCTGCCTCTTCCACACCCCCCACGGGGGATGTGCCCGCAACCAAGGGACATCCCTTGACTATAATCGAACCCGGGACCTTTCAGTCTGCAGACCGACGCTCTACCGCTGAGCCAAACCAGTTTTGGCTAAATATTTTTGTTTTTTTAAAATATATTTTATTAATTTTTCACAGAGTGGAAGGGAGAGGAGTAGAGAGCTAGAAACATCGATGAGAGAGAAACATCTATCAGCTGCCTCTTGCACACCCCGTACTGGGGATGTGCCCGCAACCAAGGTACATCCCTTGACTGTAATCGAACCTGGGACCTTTCAGTCCGCAGGCCGACGCTCTATCCACTGAGCCAAACTGGTTTTGGCTAAATGTTTTGTTGTTGTTGTTGTATTTTTATTGATTTCAGAGAGGAAAGGAGAGGGAGAAAGAGAGAAACATCAATGATGAGAGAGAATCATTGATTGGCTGCTTCCTGCAAGCCCCCTACTGTAGGTTGAGCCTACAACTTGTGCATGTGCTCTTGACTGGAATTGAACCTGGGACCCTTCAGTCACCAGATCGATGCTCTAGCCACTGAGCCAAATCATCTAGGGCCAAAGAGAGAATCTTAAAAGCAGCAAGAGAAAAGCTGTCAATTGCCTACAAGAGAGCACCCATAAAACTGTCAGCTGATTTCTCAACAGAAACTATACTGGCCAGAAGGTGGTGACAAGAAATATTCAGTGATGAATAGTAAGATTCTACTACCAAGATTACCCAGCAAAGCTATCATTCAGAAATGAAGGGTCAGATAAAGAGCTCAAGCCTAGTGGTCCCAAATGTGTCACTCATATCCATAAGTGACAAATTTGGGAGGCGGACTCAGTGAGCACCAAAGCCCCACTGAAACAAGGCCTGCACCATAAGCATGTCTCCAGTGCAGCAGTTCTTCCATTATAGACACAGGTCCTCACAGCCAATTGGCCTGGAGGTCAATTCCTCCCAGTGTACCAACAGCAATCAAGGCTTAACCACACCAAGACTTTGTACTCAGCCTACAAAGGGGTGTGCCAAGAGTAACCACCTTGGGTGATTGGGGAAGCTGAGCTACAGGCCCCTATAAGTCACCTCCATCAACACAGGGATGCAACCAAAATGCAGAGACAGAAGCATGTCACAAATGGGAGAGATGGAGGAAAGTAAACTACTGGATGACACAGTTCAGAATCACATTTATAAGGTTATTCAAGAATCTTCTAAAAACCGCTGAGAAACTTGATGAGACCTTTAAGGACCTTAATGAGAATACAAAAAAAATGGAAAAGGACCAATCAGAAATTAAGCATACACTGTCTGATATAAAGAATATACAGAAACTCAACTGTATATCAATGTACCCTAAGAGTCAAACCAAAAATCTGGAATATAAGGAAGAAAAAATCACCCAACCAGAGAGGCAGAAAGAAAGAAGAATCCAAAAGTGTGAGGACAGTGTAAGGAGCCTCTGGGTCGGCTTTAAGCATACCAACATCCGGATTTTTGGGGTGCCAGAAGAAGAGAGAGAGCAGGATATCGAAGGCCTATTGAGAGAAATAATGACAGAAAACTTTCCCTACCTGGTGAAAGAAATAGACTTACAAGTCCAGGAAGCGTACACAAGTTCAAACAAGAGGAATCCAAAGAGGAACACACCATGACATATCATAATTAAAAAGTCAAGGGCAAAATTCAGAGAGAGAATCTTACAAGCAGCTAGAGAAAAAGTTACCTACAAGGGAGTATC